AAACAATAGTTTTGCAAAGGTATTCGGTATCACGTCAACGACATTTCCCAACAAATTTTACTTTGTGTTGACTTGACCAAATTAAAAATACTTTTGTATAATAAAAGTATATAAATATATAAATGAAATAGGGTATTTTTTTCTGCCTCAAAAATGAAAACTATGTGGAATTATTGCTATCGTGACAGTGATTTTATTTTTCAAAAATTATAACATACTGACTGCTCTAATTTATATGATAAAATTACGTGCGAAAATAAAGTGTAACATTGGTCAATGCGAAATGAATATAATATCTCAAATTACCGTTACTGATTATATTGAAAACTCAAATAATAGGTAATAAAACGTATTTTTCAAAAAATTATTCGCACACTACACTTGCGTCTACAACATTTCTCTAAAACCTCTTTCTTTGATGCACTCAGTACACAAGCGGTTTGAAGAATTCATCAGAAAAGTAGCAAGAGTCTATTTTGGAGAGAATGCGAATATCGGAAACTTGGCATTCGTGACATTTACGTAACGTCTATGTGTAAAAAAATTGAAATAACAACGTAGCACACATACTTGCATAATATCTGTGAAAAGATGATAGCGGTATCATGTTAGCCTATTTGACGATCGTCTTTATTCTATATGTATCTATATGTACATAAATTCGATATCGTCGGTAAATGATGATAACGTTTTCTACTTTTTGATGATTGCTCTACGTTATCGACGCTTATTAAATTCGTCGCTCGCTCCGGCATCCCCTTAGGCAAGGGGATTTTGTTTTCTGCAAACTTTTTCGATATTATTAAGCTCCCAGATGCAGAGGCGAAAGTAGAGCAATGTTCTTTCAAATTTTTCTGATTGGAATATCCACAATTTCGGTATGTATAAGCTGCGGAACTTTTGGATTGGGCAAATATTAACTGACAGCTTGAGATTTTACATTAAACATTTTTTGTTTGTTTTCGTCACATATGGAGCAATGCTTTTATTTATATTTGCACGTACTTTCATTGCGTAAAAGCATTTATAATTCTGTGTAATCAAACATACGACGTAATGTCGCAGAATAAGTACTGCCGAAAGTAGGCTGTGTTATGGTAGGTTATAAGTTATTTCGCGTTAGCGTAGAGAGCACTATTTCGGATAGTTTTTTAGGGTTTTCTAAAGAAACATTCGCCTTTGAAAAGGTCTATTTTCGAAAATTACGACAGATATGCTTACTTCGTTCTGTATCGTTTCCGAGGTGACAACGCGTGTTTGTCTGACTCTGTAGCACACCCACTACCTTGAAAATATTTTTCCGACATCCCATAATCACCCCCATAACGTTAGATTTGTTATAGTAGCACATACGGATTCTCGCGCATGCACAGTGGTACTTACTCTGCGCATAGGACGAAAGGAGGCTATGTTATGGTAGGTTATAAGTTATTTCGCGTTAGCGTAGAGAGCACTATTTCGGATAGTTTTTTAGGGTTTTCTAAAGAAACATTCGCCTTTGAAAAGGTCTATTTTCGAAAATTACGACAGATATGCTTACTTCGTTCTGTATCGTTTCCGAGGTGACAACGCGTGTTTGTCTGACTCTGTAGCACACCCACTACCTTGAAAATATTTTTCCGACATCCCATAATCACCCCCATAACGTTAGATTTGTTATAGTAGCACATACGGATTCTCGCG